GGGAGGGAAGGAGAGGAGAAGAGAGGAGAAAGTATTTCAGGTTAAAGAAATGTGTACATGAAAGAATGAACAGGGTGAGTGAACAAGCACATTTGTATCCATTATTTTATTTGAGCTCTGCAACACCCTAATGAAGTTGCCTGAAAAGATCCTTATCCCCATTTTTTGAACAGAGAAATGGAGGCCCTGGGAGGATAAACAATTTGTGTGCAGGAAAGGGGTTATCTGCGACCTGAACCTGTATGTTCTGACACCAAATCAATGCCTCTATCTGTTGCAGCATTCAGCCAACATTGACTGAGTTTTTCCTCCAATGCCCAGTATTGTGCCCAATGAGAATTACAAGGAGCATAATCTCAATGCTCAGCTCTTGAAGAGCTTGCATTCAAGATAAATTTTAAAAACTTGATAATGTCAAGGGACAAATGCTGAAATAAAAGTCCAAGCAAATGCTCCAGAATCATGGCAGAGGTATGTCCCGAAGAAATGTCCTTAGCCCTGTTTAATATTTGGTACCAACCATTTGGACAAAGACATATTAAGTCCGCTTATCACATGTGTGGTTGACATATAGCTGGGAGGGATAGAAAATATGATTGATGTCAAAATCAAACTTCTAAATGATCTCAGTTGTCTGGAACCATGAACCAAACACTGCAAGATGAAGTGCAGCAAGTGTTCATGCTGGACCAGCAATTTCTTCCAAAATAATCAATTGCTCGAGAATAGGAGAAGGGAGCCTGGCTTGGCCTCTGGCCATGAGAGAGATTCGAGACATGACCAGGCCTCAAACCAAACTTGCACCAATTATTTAAATTAAAAGAGTTGGGCTGGGCACAGTGGCTCACACCTGTAATCCCAGAACTTTAGGAAGCAGAGGTGGGCAGATCATGAGGTCAGGAATTCGAGACCAGCCTGGTCAATATGGTGAAACCCTGTCTCTACTAAAAATACAATAATTAGCTGGGCATGGTGGTGCATGCCGATAGTCCTGGCTACTTAGGAGGCTGAAGCAGAAGAACTGCTTGAACCCAGGAGGCGGAGGTTGCAGTGAGCCAAGGTTGTGCCACTGCACTCCAGCCTTGGCATCAGAGCAAGACTCAGTCTCAAAAAAACAAAAAGTGTCACAAACTAGCATACCCTGAGTCTGTGTGGCAATTATTTTCAGTCATAGCATACATTTAATGTGACATTTTATAAATTACCTTGGATATGGTTTAATGGAACATTTTGTGAATCTTGTTGGAGATGGAGTGGTGGTGGAGGGATAGCATCTTCAGATGAAGGAGGAAGATGCTTACATGTCTCTTTATCCAGGAAGGGCTCTCAGTGCACCTCCGGGCCTGTGGTGGGTCTTAGACAAAATGGAATATCAGCCTAGGAAGCCCTGGGATCTTGCAGAAGGGCTTGTACATAAACTCTATCACTTTTCATTTGTGTGCTTCTGGGAAAGTCATGGAGGCTTGCTAGGGATCATTTTCCTTATTTATAAAATGGATGCTATAATTTCAATCTCATAGGACCTTGTGAGTAATAACGAAGGAGATCATGAATGTAGAATGATGAGCACAGGGCTTGGCCTGAAGCTTGTGTTTAAAAAAAAGGTGCTTACTGTTAATATCCAGACAAATCCAGAGACATCTATAAATAGGCAGGAGGGTCGCAGGACCTGTGGCCTTGGATTTAGGGCCAGGCCTTCAGTCTTCATGTGGGTTCAGGAAAGGCTGATTTTTCTTTTTATGAATGTGTGTGTGTGTGTGTGTGTGTGTGTGTGTCTGTGTGTGTAAGAGAGAAAATTTTTAAGCTCAAGAAAAGACACAGCTTTAGTATACTTGGGGCATTAATCAGATTTGAGAGACAGTCATCCACTTAACGAGAATGATACCCAAAAGTGGATATGAATTCTCGGGTACCAGAAAGTTACCCACAGTACCAGAATTAGGGCAAAAAGTCAAAGCTATCTTGGCAGTGAAAAAGATGAGACCGATTTCCACAGTTCTGGCTGGGGTTCCCTTAATCCACTTTGCGTCAGGATAGGTTGGTCTCTGGGCCTCTCAGTTTCTTCATTTGCAAAATGAGAGGGCTGGACCAGATTAGTGGTTCTCAAATATACACTCTCGGAGAGGTGCTGGCGTATGTTTGGCGTCAAATCCATGACATCCCGCTCAGATAACTTCCTGACTGTTCTATGTTGGGCTGTGAAGGAGAAAAATTGCTCCTTGCTGTGAATAGCCAAGGAGAAAAAAACACTGGCATGTCCTTTCCTGCCACCCTCACCAGCCAGACTCCTGGGCTACCTTAGTGAACTTTCTTTTCAGCTTTGGGCCAAGAAAGGGAAGAATGCTGCTAGAGATATGGTGGAGTTACTCATCCACTTCTCTGAAATGCCCAGAAGATTTTGAATTTAAAGAAGTAGTGAGAGTGTATGCTTTTCATTTTTATCTATACATTTCTCTGAAATTTGATTTTTGATGCCAGTATTAAAAATGAAATGACCGAACTATTTGGAGACTCAAGCTCACTCTATTTTCCTATATTGCATAGGTACTCTCCCAGCTGACAGCTTCTGTCAAGAAAAATACTATCTACAGCATAACTTAAAAAATAACATTTTATATTCTATTTTTAATTTTAAAATGTAAAAAGCCTATCTTTTAAAGAGAGTGTCAGATGGTCAAGTTTCTTTGCTTGGAAAAGATGTTTTTTTCTTTCTGAGATTATGCCTTTTCTTTTCGAGGGGTAGGCTATTAAAGTTCTCATTCTTTTATGAGGTGATTATGACAATTGATGGAATCTATTTTATTATTTTAAAAATTATGTTACTTGGAATAAGGTAATAAAAAGTTAGACTTAGGATTGTTTTCCTCTTCAAAACAAACAAACAAACAAACTTCCCTCTTGGCTAACATGGTGAAGCAACGTCTCTGCTAAAAGTACAAAAATCAGCCAGGTGCGGTGGCACATGCCTGTGGTCCCAGCTACTTGGGAGTCTGAGGCAGGAGAATCACTTGAACCCAGAGGTGGAGGTTGCAGTGAGCTGCTATCACGCCACTGCACTTCAGCCTGGTGTTGAGCGAGACTCTGTCTCAAAATTAAATTTAAAAAACCCTTCCCTGGCCCATGAAATTAAAAAAAAAAAATGAAGAAAAATTTAGGTAGAATTTATTAATTATACACCTAATGTAAAGAGGCAGATTCACCAATGTAGCTTGGGAAGGCAGTCTTAGCTCTTCAGAGACCTATGTCGAACGCTGTGTCTAGTAACAGGCTAAGTAGACTACGGGGGCTATAAAAAGACAATCCCGGGCATCACACTTGGAGGATGATACCAGGGATGGAACAATTTGATGTCTAGACAAGCCATTGGTGCTAGCTGTCTGGTAGTTATAGATTTATATCAAACATCTTAACTTGACATTCACGTCTCTGTGATCTTATTTCCACCTGCCATTAGAACCTTATTTGTCTTCTTTTTCAGAATCCCTTGGGTCCTTAAACTTTGTGCCCAGGACATCCCTGGCAGCCTGGAAAAAGTATGGAGCCCTTTGGAAAGTAAGCGTATGAAATCATTAAATAAAATACATAGTATTGCAAAGGAAAACAATTATGTTAAGATATGGTTATCAAAATAACTGAAAGTGTGATAGGGGTGTTAACATGCTGCTTTAGTAACACATTAAAGAACAATCCCTAGCATCAGGTTTGATGCCACTGGAATTTTGAAGTTATAATGAGTGTAAATGCTATTCTAAGATATCTTCAACGAAAGTGATGTGTTATGAAAATATCTGTGATTTCTACCGATACAGGGTCAAGATGCTATTACTGCTACTGTGGTTTGTTATCTGTGTTCATACTTGAAGAAAATGCTAAATTTAAGTGAGAATTCAGTGAGGACTTTGTTTTTTGAATTAAAATAATTTGCCATCTCTGAATTCTATCCATTGATGTTTTTCAAGGATCCATGCACCCCAGTTTAAGAACCCCTGCTAATCAAACTTATGCTAGTTTTTCTAAATATTCTTCATGTTTTCTTGCCCGAGTTCATTATGTTTTTCTTCCTCATCTGGAAAAGTCTCAGTGCCCTCTTCTTATAGATGCAAGTTCTACCCATCCAGCTATCACCTCTTCCAAGCTTTCTTTGAGTTTTCAATGGCATAGTCATCTCTCTATTGTCCAAGTTTCCACAGCCCTGCATCTGTCATTTCTGGTAAGCCTTGTAAGGTATCAATTGTATAGAAGTGATACACGAATTAATTTTCATGCTATCCTTGTATTATCTACCCCATTGTGCTATAAATGGATTGGAGACCACACGTACTTGATGCCTCTCTGTTTCTCTTGATGTGTTTTCAAATAATACAGGTGTTGGCCCTGACCACCACACCCAGTGTATTCAGAATTAACCAGGTTTCATTTCCCTCAATATAGGGCTCATAAAATGTCACTAGAGTTTCCTAAATAGCTCATACCAAATATAATCACTGCTCCCTAAATCTGCTTCCTTAACCTGAGACATCCTGCCTCCTTCACTTAATCTACTCTGTTCCTTCCAACTAGAATGTTCTCGTCCCATCCTATGTATGCCTATAAAAATCTTAGGTGGCCTTAAAGATCAATTTCAAATGTCACTGTCAAAAGAAGCCTTCTCTGCTCTCTCCCCAAATGAGTATGATCTGTAAGTGAGCATAACACATTGCCATCACTCAGCATCACATTCTGCCTTATTTTGTACTTGTCTATTTCTTTCTTCTCTTACCATTAGACAAAAACAGCTATAAAAAAGGAACTAATGATTTTCTCTCTTTCTTTTGGTTCTGGCATAGCTAATAAATATGAAACGGAACACTTCTCCCTAGTTCATCTGACTCAAACAACCCACACAAAAATTTTTGGTCTCAAATTTGAGCAGGAAACCTCAAAAAAAAAATCAAATGTCACCTCCTACTTCCTGTCTTCCTACTTTGGTCTCAGGACAAGGCTGAAATGGCCCTGTTGAAATTGGTTTTCTTTGGCCGAAGCCATAACAAGACTTTAGATGTGGGTGGGAAGAAAAAAATAAAATCAAGTTTTCAAATCTGAAAAATGTCTTGGCATGGGTTTTTCCGAGGCCTGCGATGTAGACGTTTGTCCTCACTTTATTTGCTCAGCAAGATTTTTCTTTCTGTAGGACATCCCACATGGAGATGCAGAACCTGGCAGCCAGAAGGGGCAGTGGCCCTGGCAACCCATTAACTACAGATGGATAGATACATAGCTTAGCTCAGCATCCAGAGTTCTTCGTGGTCTTCACCCAACCTGCTGTTAAAAACTTCTTAACTCCTTCTCCTCTTCAGCTCACCAACTCTGGCTCAGCACAGCCCAGCTGACATTTTTCATGCCCTGCACTGCACCAAGAAACCGGAAAGGCACTGGAGTTACCAGGATGGACAAGACTCAGAACGTTCCCTTGACAGGGACAATATTTGGTGTTTCTCAAGAAGGAGCAGTGTCACCCAAACAGGAAAGAGAGAAGATAGACACAGGTAAGACTTTAAACCATACTGCAGAAAATGGTAGTGCCAAAACAGAACTGGGCTTGATTTGCAGGTCTTGTAGGTACCAAGCATATTTATATTTATTTTTTAGTGATTATAATAACCTTTTATAAAATTGCAGCTTTTTGTCTTATGGTAAACTTTGTTGAACTATTTAATCTCTCCAAGTTGTAGCTTATTCATCTTTAAAATGGATGCTAGCATGTACAGTAGCTATTTCAAAAAGTGCTTTTGCATCAGTATTGGACAGAAAGTGTTTTGCATATTATCAGATATTATTTTCTTCTCGTCAGTTTCGATATTCACTGTATAAACAGTGTTAGACAGGCTATAGGGAAAGGGAGTGACGCAAGACAGCTAGGACCTTTTCCAAGTCACATACACAAATCACTTGGTGACCCCACATAGATCATTTTATTTTTTCTATCCCTTGTGCTGGATTTGAAGACAGGGAAGGTTGTATCTGTCTTATATCTACCTCTTCCAAAGACAGAGAAGATGATTTAAAGTCCAAGAGACAGAGAGTACCTATAGGAAAATTGAAGGCACAATTTTTTTCATTATCTCTTTCTTCCCTCTCTTTTTCTCCTCTCTCTTCTAAAATTAAACTTTGCCAAAGACAATTTTAAAAACATTTTTTATTTTCTAAGGCTGGCAACATTTTCAGCTTGGAAAACAAGAATACTTAACAGCTAAAATGACCTGGTTTTTATTTCAAACTTGGAGATGCATCGCAAATAGGTTGAGGTCAAAGGATAAATTTCTACCTTAGATAATAAGGAAGTGCAGCAGTGGGCAGATGGCTGGAGTGGAAAGAACATCAGAACTTGGGTGAGGATGCCTGGGTTGATATTCATGTCTTGTTTTTCATTAGCTATTTGACAGTGAGCACGTTAATTCACTTGTCTGGTGTTGTTTAGTTTTCTTGTATGCAAAGTAATAATAGCACCATCTATTTTATAGAATTTCATGTCTACATTATATGGACTGCTTATATATCCAGTATATTTGTTCTTGATGTAGCTGATGAGGAGTTTGGATAATGCCGTGTAAAAGGCTACTTAAGTTCTATAAATCTTTATTGATGTCCGATGGAAAAACAACTCTACCTTTTCTTCTCTATCTTCATGGTGATCCCATGGTGTTTCATGATCTCAGATACTATTTATAGGTTCATAATTCTCATCTCTCTGGATACTCTACATCTCCATTTGAATGTCCAATAAGCATCTCAAACTCATCATGTGCAACATATTTCTTATCTCCTCTTTCCAACCTGCTTCACCTACAATTATCCTCCTATCTGTGAATAGCAACTTCTTTCAGTTGCTTAGACTCAAAAACCTTGGAGTCTTTCTTGACCTCCTCCTCTTTCTAACCCCTATTCAAGCTATCAGCAAATTCTAGAGGCCTTCCCTATGATCATAACATGTTCCAGAATCCCACCACTACCTACCATTTCCAAATATCATTACCCCAATCCAAGACTCCATTTACTTTCGCCTGGATTCTTAGAGCAGCTTCCTGACTAGTCTCTGCTTTTGCACTTGCTCATGTAGAGACTTCTGAAGATGGTGGCCAGGGCTATTCTATTTTTTCAAAAATAAGTTTGATCCTGTCACTCCTCTGTTTAAAACCTTCCTAAGACTTTTGACTTGAGCTGAGTCAAGTCCAAGTTCTTACCCTAGAGCCCCAGACCTGTGTGGTCTCTCTGACCTCTGGCTCCTCCCCTCCAGCCTCACTGGTCCCTTTGCTGCCCCTGAGTACTCTGCCCTGTCCTTATCAGGACTTTTCTTCTGGTGACTTCCTCTGCTCCCACCTAGCTCCATGTCCTTCTCTCTCACCACCTTCAATCTTTGCCTGAATGTCAACCTTCCAGACCACCCCACTTAAAATTACACCCCCAATTCCTGCCCTCCCCATTCCCCCTTCCTGGCTTTATTTTTATCCACAGCACCTTTCACCTTCTGACAATCTATGTGTTTCACTTACAACTAGAATATAAACCCCATGAAAACACGCCACTTTATTTTATGCACTGACTTATTCCTCTGTAACTGTGCTTGACCGTGGTAGGCATTTATTAAATATTTGTTGAATGAGCAGAATAAATGAATAGGACATTCTATTAAGCGTAAGGAACATCAGCTCATGTACTCCTCACAATAACTATTGGTTACATTATCTCGATTTTGCAAACAAACTGAAGCTCTGAGATGTTATGTAATTTGCTTGTGTTTATTCAAGAGCATATTCATTGTGAGAGTTAAATCAGGTCTAGCAATTTGCAAATTCAAGTTCTTTCTATTATGCTACAGAACATAATACATTTTTAAAGGAGCCTAAAATTTATGCTTAGTTTTGTTGTTGTTGTTTAAAATTTCTGGCCATATCTCCTTGCTGTCTACTGGGTTGGTTAGGTAGGAGAAGATTCTGTGCCCAGTACACATCCCAGAGAGTCCTCCTTTACATGAGGTGAGTCTCGGCTCTATTCCCAGATAGAATCCTCTTTCTATCCCCTCTCCTCTGGGACATGAGAGTATGGAAAGCCAGGCTGGGAGGGGGCTGGTGTTTCATGCAAATGTTTCTGCTGTTGACGAGCCCAGCTTGGCTTCATGTCCCAGCTCCCTGAAGCCTCCTTCACAGTCAGGCAGGCTTCTGTCTCTAGTCTTTTAAAACCATTTTTTTCTTTCCTTCACACAGTTTTCTGTCTCCTTCTCTTAGCTTGATGTTGTGTCTGGCCACATAGGCCATGTGGGCTATTTTTACTGACAGCAGTCACCAGCCCATACGGTTCCCATTACCACAAACTGTTACCTTCATTGACATCAGTTTGCAAATGAGTGGATGGCGGACAAGGAGGATGTCGACTCTGCACGGCCAGTCGCAGGGCTCCCAGGGTTAGCCTTGGCAGGTATATTGGTCTTGATGAACGTCCTTTAAAACAAATTGGGTTGGACAAAATGCTGATTAATTACTTAGGTATTTTGTTCTTCCTTTTCCCCTTCAAGTTCATTTTAGTAGGTTTTTAAGAGGGTCAAGTTTCAAAGGCAGGTTGCTTTTCATAGAGAGGCAGATCTGATTTTTGTTTCTTTCCATTTTCAAAGCTTGCTGCATGGCGGTACCTCCGTGGGTGATGATGCTTATTAGTCCCTTGGGGAATGACAAACAATAGCACACAGCTTTCAGTGCAGAGTCTATGAGTTTATGTTGAGATACAGTGAATCCTGAGAATTCCCTTTCTCTGGAAAGATGGTTAGAGACCCTCAGGGTGTCAGTACTATTGAAAACACCTCTTTCTGCATAGAAAACACTATAATTCACAAAACATTTTCAAACGCACCATCTTATTTGAGTCTCATGACCTTGCTATGAGATTGAGGTTTTTCATTTTATAGGTGAGAAAACAGAAGCTATGAGAGGCTGACTGGCTTTCCCAAGTCTACATGGCTAGTAAGAACCCAAGATGGGATTCAGCCTCAGCTTCCTGGACTTCAGGCCAGAGCTCAAGCATCAGCACTACAGCTGCCTCAGTGACATGAAACAAAACCAGGCAGGGCTTGTTCAAGGACATAAGCTAGCAGCTCACAATGGGGCCTGATGGGACATGTTGCATCGAAACTAGAAGTTGGCATTGAGACCCAGGCTCGCTGTGGCTCTACAAAGCTGCCGCCACGTCAGCTGGATGACACTGAAATGGACGAGAATAAAAGGCTTTTTCCTGCAGTGGGTAATGTCCCCTTACCAGGGCCCAGGAGCTATTGTGATGCACTGAGCATAAAGCTATTGTGATGCACTGAGCAGTGGGTAGGTGAAAAGGAGAATTCTGGGCTGTGAATGAGACTGCAGGCAAGGGTGAGTCACTCTGAGGCCCTACTAGCTCAGCCTGGCTACCTGGGATCAGAACCCTCCCACCAGGCCCACCAAGGTCTTCTCTTTCCCTCCACTTCCTCCAGCTTTGATTGTGCCCTTTCAGTTCCTCAGCCACACAGAGCTCTTTCCTACCTTAAGGTCTTTGGCCACATTTTTCTCTTTTCCTGTAACATTCCTTCCTGTTCTTTGCAAGTCAGACTCTTCCACATAAATGTTCCCATCTCAGAAAGTCTTGTTGTGGCCGCTATGGTGGGTTAAATAGTGACCACTCCACTCCAATAAGACATGTCTAAATTCTAACCCCTGGAACCTGAGGAGGTGACCTTGTTTGGAAAAATGGGTCTTTGCAGGTGTAATTAAGTTCAGGGTCTCCAGGAGAGATCATTCTGGATTTAGGTGGGTCCTAAATCTATGACAGGTGTCCTTATAAGAAGAGGACAGAACTCAGAGACATTTAGGGAGAAGAAGGTAATGTAGAGATAGTGGCAAAGATGGAGTGGGAAGCCCAAGTCAAGGAATGCTGACAGCCACCAGCGTCTGGAAGAGGCAAAGACGGATTCTCCCCTGGAGATGTCAGAAAGACAGCAGCCCTGCAGATCTGATTTCAGACTTCTGAACTCTAGAGCTGTAAGGCACTATATTTCTGTCATTTAAAAGCCATCAAGTTTGTGGTGATTTTTGCAGTAGATCTAGAAAACTAATACAGTCACCTAATCCAAGTAACACCTCCGCCCTCCCCACGTACACATTGTTGGAATTCACTGCTAATTTTATGTTTGCCTCTTTCATGTCAATGATTGATTTCTAACGCTCCCATCATTTGGGATGTTCTGTGTTTTGTCCGTATTCCCTCTTCAGATCTCTTTAGGCTCCCGTTGGCTGAGAATTTTAGACCTTCCTCATTTTTGATGACCTAGATAGTTTTGCGGAATACTGGTCAGGTATTTTATAGAATGTCTCTCCACCAGAATTCAACGTTTTCCTCATGATTAGACAGGGATTAAGGTGTTTTTTTTTTTAAAGAAAGAGGAAGATCTCATAGATGTAAAGTGCCATTCTAATCATATCATATCCAGGGTACTCACCATCAATAATATATATTGTTGTTGATAGTAACCTTGATCATTTGGCCAAGGCAGTGCCGGTCAGGTTTCTCCAGTGCACAGTTACTCTTTTGCTTTCTTTCTATACTGTACTTTGGAAGGAAGTCGCTAATGAGAAGCTATAATTCATTTTTAAGTTACAGTTAAGCTTTGATTTAATAAGCAATGCTTTAAATAACATCCACATTGATTGTCACAACTCTCTCAATGGAAAATTGAGAGTCAGAGAGGTTAAGCTATCTTCTCAAAGTCACACAGCTAATAAGTAGAAAATGGAGACAAATTGTTAGATCTGACTCCAAAGTCTGACCTTCTCACCATGCTCTTTTCATACTGACGCCTTAGAGCACTAATCAGCTAAATTCTTAACATAAACATCTAAATGTTCTGGGTCTTGCTCTGCTGAGAGTGAAATAGAAAAGTGGGTTGGGGGAGGATTCATTTACCATCTGCACTGCCTTTGGAAATGTTTAATACACAATCTATTCTACATACCAACATAAATAGTAAACTAAAGTCCATAGGTAGTCAAATTTCCTTAGTTTATCTTTGTGCCCCCAACACTATGAATAGGAGCCATACATCATGTCAGCTCTGCCGGTACACCTGGAGGCCTCATAATCTAGCTTTGACAATCTAACCCATTCACAGCAAAAAGTCGTGGAAGAGCCCAAAGTGCTTTAGGAACACTATCAAGGGCTATAGGAAAAAGTTAATATAACATCCTCCGATATCACAGTTTAAAGGACTTGAAGGCTCAGAGTGGTAGTAACTTACCGAAGGCTACGCAGGGAGATACTGGTAAAGCAGGAACAAGAAACCAGATCTTTGATTTAGCATAAGGCTCTTTCTGTTTAAGACGGGTGGCCTCCAAGAAATAGCACCTCATGGCTGATCATTGTTCACACTTGGCAGGCTCCATTGATAAAAGCTGAGTCTGAGAAATGGGCATCCTATTACTGGTAAGTATCTTCATATTATCATGACACCATCTGACCAGCCAAGTGGGGACATGTAGCTAATTCCTTATGAGCTTCATCTGTCCCTCACGAGTCCATCTTTAACCTCTAGGCTAACCAGGGCTGATGATGAAGGCACCAAAATACAGGAAATACCTAAACAGACTGAAACCAAAGAAAAAAGGAGAGACTCCAGGATCCCATGTCTGCTATCTTCCTGTCCTACAGGGAGACATCCTTCTGCTGAGGTCATTTCGAGAGCTTGGGTGAGGACCACATAAGAAGAAACTGCAGTCTCACTAGTCTGCATAACCAAGGACAGAAATCAGGTGACGTGTGCTGGACATATTTTCTTTTATAGGATTCAATGAGATCACAAAATCAAGGACTACTGCAGTAAGTCAATGGCATCTAAAAATGCTCAGAGTAGATTCCTTTTAGGTATTTGTGTAACAGTTTCAGCAGTGGCAAACATCTCTGTCAAAATTTCTCTTCTGTGTTATCTCCAGCAAGTGTAATGACATGATTGTTATCATTTTACAAAGGAATAAAATTAAAGCTCAGAGAAGTTAAATCTCCTGCCCAAAACTATAGAATCATAGGGGAATTTGAGATTTCAGCTGTGATCTTTTGACTTCCCACTTTGATGGTGACCATCCCTGTCTCCTATTTCTGCTTAAAACACAAACCTATTGAGCCTACATATTCCATGCTGCATTCTAAGTTCAGATATTCTAACTTTAATTATAATGTGCTATTCCATTTGCCTTGCTATAAAGGAATACCTGAGGCTGAGTAATTTATAAAGAAAAAAAATGCTTATTTAGCTCACAGTTCTGCAGGGTGTACAAGAAACATGGAGCCAGCATCTGCTTCTGGTGAGGGCCTCTGGAAGCTTGCAATCATGGTACTAATAGTAATATTTAAGTGGGGTTATACAATACAATACAACCTCTTGTGTCTGGCTTCTTTCACTTAGCATAATGTTTTTAAGATTTATGGTGTCATAGCATTTATTGGTACTTACTTCCTTTTCATGGCTGAATAATAATCTGTTTTAGACTTATGTACGACATTTGGTTTGTCCATTCATCAGTTAATGGACGTTTGGGTTGTTTTTACCTTTTGGCTATTATGAATCATGCTGCTGTGCACGTCCATGGACTTGTCTGAGTAGCAAAAAAAATTGCTTTAAAGCGTAAATTCTAAACAAGCATCTGACTTCAAAGTGAGAAGCCAAAGGAAAGGGAGAATTCAACAACGGGGTCTGAGGAAAGAGGCATTTTACTTGCCCTCCAGGGAGTATGTAGTGAGACATTGAGCTAAGGAGGGCTATGTTTGAAAAGTGCTCCATGCTCACTAAAGGGAAGATTCTGAATATGAGGAAAATGAAGGTGGTTTCCAGATGACAAACTAATTCCAGCAGTCAGAGAAGGAAGGCCATTCATGCTCCCTTTTCCAAGACTCCCTTTTGTCTATAAACAAACTACAGAGCCTCTCCTAATACATTGTTTCTGGTCGCAGACATGACAACACACACAGTTCGCTTTTCCGACGTTAGTCTTTCCTCTAGGGCCCAGGAGTCGGGGATGAGTGTGGTGGAAGGAAGAGGGAGGAGGGAAAGGAATGAGTTTCTCGTAGAACACTGCTGGACTGAAAAACACTGGCAAGGAAAGCCGACTTACCATGTGCTGGGCACTGCCTGATATGTTTCCACATAGATCATCTCATTCATCCCAACAACAGTCCTGTGACATGGGCATGCAGAACATTTCCATTTTATGATGGAAGAAGCCGAGGCACAAAGAGGTTAAGCAATTTATCCAAGATCATGCCACTCCTTAGTGATGGAGCAAGCCTTTGACTCCAGGTTCTATGTTCTTAACTACTGCAGTGATTCCAAACCTCAAGTCTTCCCTAAGAATGAGAAAAATATTCATTATTTCTTCTTTTTACCAAGCCCTGGGATTGGATTATCACTCAGGACCTTTTAAGAATAACAACAAAGATTCCTTGAAAATAACTAAGCCTACTTTATATAACTGATTAGGTAGAATGTCTTAGGCAGTACCTTCAACCAAATGATGATGATGCTAAGAATGCCCACGACAGTGAACTGAATGGAGACTCTGCTAACAGGTGACATTTATTGGGCTCTACTCCAAGTGGGTTACATGCAACCTCATTTAGTCCCAGGAAACCTATGACCTATACCCCACTTGCAGTTTTACCTTACCATCTCCACAACTTGATGCAGAGCTTCTCTCTTTGTTTTTGGGGGCAGGATAGGCTCAGCAAGAAGCAGGTGCTCAGGAGTAAACAGATTCCAGTGTGGTGAGCCCAGGGGCTTCTCTTCACCGACTCCTAGGGCAGAAGGTTATCTTGGGACAGGAGCTCCTTGACCATTCCCCAGGGCCTCACCTGGCTCTTTCCATCACTTTTTAACCATCAGGTTCTACAGTCACCAGAAGTGGAAATTAGACTGGTCATTTGTACCAGAGATGATACATTTTGTGAAGAGAGCATTTGGTTTCTCTGTCAGCAATGATGCAAAACTCAGTCTTTTTCACCAGGAGTCTTGCTGCTCATTCTGAGCAGACTTTATCCAAAGTGAACTGCTCAGTGTTCAGGCCTGGACTCTTGTAGAGGTGTGATCTGACAAGCTCAATGGAATTTTCTGCGTCTTTACACATGTGTAACATTATCCAATAATACCCACCTCATAGAGTGTAGAAATATAATAACAATGACAACTATGGCAAAAGTGACAACAGCCAATGTGTATTGTGGGTTTGCTATGTGCCATGTTGCATTGGGCTTAGGGATTTTCTTGTTTTTTTTTTTAATCCTCAAATGCATACATGTGTGTACATATACATACATACATATATATTTATATATGTATGTGTGTATACATATACCTACATACATATGTTTTTATATATTTACATTGTGTGTGTGTGTGTGTGTATATCCCTATATGTTATCACACATGAAAGAATTTGGTACTTTTACCGGATATGGTAGTTCCTTAGTAAATGTAACTGATGGTGATGATGTCTGTATATGTTCAAATATAGAGAAAAATGTAGACAAATTCTACAGAAAAACAAGTAGCATTGATTCCTCAAGAAAGGGTGCAGCACATGGCAAGGAGAGAGTTATACAGGGAAGAAGAAAAATACTTTTTTTTTCTTTACACATCTTTGTATTGTTCATTTTTGAAAAATCTGAGCATATAGAACAATTTATTAAGTTTGACATTCTTTCAATCATTTCCTTAGTGAGAAAATTAGTGAAACACATATCACTTTGGAATAAAAGTCATTAAAACAAGAGCCATCCAAGAATATCTAGAGAATAAAATGCCTACACTGCCATGCGCAAAGAGGGTCTAAATAAATATTTTCCTGTCTTTTCCTTTTATCCCATACGCAGGGTCCTAATATTTGTGCTTCCTTTGGCTAATGGAAAGATAAACTCATTAGTGTATATATTTTCCTATGGTTTCCTTAGCAAAGACAGAGGCTAGCATTAAAGTACCCATAGAAAACTAAGGCAAGCTCTCTGAGCCATGGAGCATAGGCTGGATGTGCAACCCAGGTTGGTGTGGGGCACAAAAGACAGCCCAGCTACATGCTTCCTTTCTGTGCTGAATCAATCTATTGCTGGAAGGAATTTTCTCAGGTGGGGGTGTTTTAATAAGCGTGCTAGTAATTTTGACTCTACCACAAGTTGCCCTACTACACAATTGCCATATACACAGGATTGCTTATATATAAGATACAAGCAGTCACAGGAATCTGGGCTTCAATGTTCAAAATTTATCTGTGATACATAGTATAAGAAAGAAGCTGACCGTGAAAATGGATAAGGGAGGTAGGTGTGTGGCTGGTGAGGGCAGGACTCAAGGTGTTTGCTGGCGTTTCATATATAGTAGGTGATTAAAATGTGTGTCGGGGATCACAAGAAAAAGTAATTAATCATAAGCATTCATAATGCTACTGCCTTTCCCTTTTCCTCAGTCCATTAAAGGAAATTCTGTCTTTGCCTGTTTCGTTTCTTCCCCTTTCCCGCTTATGACAAGCAAGAAAGTATTCAGCTGCAAGGAACAGAGACACTGAGACACAGTGACTTCAATACTCAGAGGGAAATTTTCTCACATATATTAATTAACTCTGGCTTCTGAAATTGGTTCAATGCTTCAAGGTTTCAGGACCAGGGATCACATCATTCCTTTGTCCTTTAATTCATGCTTGGTACCAAATTGTCAAAAGATGGCTGCCACAGCTCGAGTTATCTTTTTGTTTTTCCAAGACAAAAATAAAAAGGAGTGGCATGGGAGGAGGTTTTGCCAAGGAAACCATAAAGAGAGGAAGCATGAAGATCACGTATGCTCCCTTTATCAGAAACACTACAATTTCCCTGGAAGCCAAAAGAAATGCAGAGAGAGATTGATCTATGATATGATCCATGACAGCATCATTTATGAAATCAAAGAATTGGAAACACCTTGTGTTAGTCTGTTCTCATGCTGCTAATAAAGACATATCTGAGACTGGGTAATTAATAAAGAAAAAGAGGTTTAATGGACCCACAGTTCCAGGTGGCTGGGGAAAGGCCTCACGATCATGGCAGGAGGCAAAGGAGAACAAAGCGTATTTTACATGGCGGCAGGCAAGAGAACTTGTGCAGGGGAACTCCCATTTATAAACCCACCACAACTCATGAGACTTATTCACTATCACAAGAACAGCATGGGAAAGACCTGCCCCCATGATTCAATTATCTTCCACTGGGTCCCTACCACGATATGTGTGAATTATGGGAGCTACGATTCAAGATGAGATTTGGGTAGGGACAGAGCCAAACCATATCATATTTTATATGCCCAATGAAAGGGACTGCTTAAGTATATGTTGCCACAGCTTTACAATAGAAAACTAGGCAGACAATAAAGTATTTGTAAAGTTCATTTAAAATTTTAAGTGAGAAAATTTGAGAAACATAATTACATGATTCTAATTGTAATATTTAAAAAAACACATAGGTGTATCAAAAAGAAGATTGAAAAGAACCATGCCAGGATTATCAGTTTTCCTTTGCTTTCTTCCTTTATTTTTTGCCTTGTTCATATTTTCTCTAATGAGAAAATTTTTGTCATCAGAAACTATTTATTAGGAAAAAAACTTACTCTTGCCAGGTCTCCACTTCATCCATTCCTTGATTCCCATCTCTACTCCCCACAAATACACACTTACTTCTATGTCTGATTCTCAACTCTCAACCTGTGCAGGGAGTTTCAAACTATAAACTACCAGGGGGAGTCAGATCTTTCACCCTCTAGGCTAATTTTCACTTGTCTCTGCATAATTATGAACAGTTTCCCTTTTCCTTTCAAAAGTCTCCAGTGTAGATGATAAATTACATATTTGGCCTCGGCTGGGAGCGATGGCTTATGCCTGTAATCCCAGCACTTTGGGAGGCTGAGGTAGGCAGATCACCTGAGGTCAGGAGTTCGAGACCAGCCTGGCTAAAATGGAGAAATCTTGTCTCTCCTAAAAATACAAAAATTATC